GCCCGAGGACATACGTGAGTAGGCAGGTACGTGAGCACCCATGTGTTTGTGTGCACATGTGGACCCGTGTATGCACAAGCACAAACAGTGCTGATAGGGCTTGAGGCCCTTGAGTGGTGACTTCCAAAAAATAAGCCGCCCATCCCTTTGTGTGTTCAAGAAATATCACCACCTCCCTTTGCTCCATGGCTCTTGTAAGGGGGAGTGAGCAGGCCCGGGACCCCACTTTTTACAGAAGGGGAAGCAGGCACTCATCGTCAGCTGACCTGAGCACACGGCTAGGCACAGGTCTCCTCCTGCTGGTGACTTTCACATGAGATTTAGTAGCTTTTCAAAGGATTGCCCCTTGGGGCCTGGCATGACGAGGGGTTGGAGGAACTCCCATATCTGTGGCATGGACACAAGTGGGGCATCACCTTTATTGCCATAAAGTAGGGCCCTGGGGGTAGGCAGCTGGACTGGCATTCTCTGAACTGGCAGAGGTTGGGGAGATTCAAATTGCAGTTGAAAATGAGGGTCCCATGCGTCCCAAATACCTCCTCCTGGCCCAGAAAGGGTTTGGGGGTGACTCATCCAGTCAGCTCCAACCTCCAGGAGGACCCTGCCAGCTCCAAACACCTGACTCTTTAGATAGAGAGCTGTCCCCCACCGCATTGCCACCCCCCAGTCCAGCCTGACTCAGTTGAACACATCGTACAGCAGCCTGGAGCCACACTCCTGGTACATGGCCCGGGTTATCCAGCGGCGCTGGAAGGAGTGAAGGGAGGCCACCATGGAGCCACCGGTCCACACAGCCATGTCACGCCCAGGCTTGGCCACCAGGTGGGGCCGCAGGGCCGCGTAGCCGTGCCGCCGGCACTGCGCCTCCAGCTCCTTGTCCAGGCGCTCGGCGAAGCCAGGAAACAGCGTGGAGCCGCCGGCCAGCACCACGGTGTCTGCTAGTCGTGTCCGCAGCGTTTCGGGCATCTTCTGCAGCGCCCGGAAGGCCAGCGCGGGCAGCCCCGGCCCAGCCTGGCCCAGCAGGCCTGGCTGGAAGATGGGTTCGGGGCAGCGGAATCGCTCGCTGCTAAGGCAGACGCAGCACCCGTTACCCATGCTGAAACTGGCCGGATGGTGGCGGGCGGGGTCGCGGAGGTCGCCCTCGAAGTCCAGGGACACGTAGCAGCTGCGCTTCTTGAGATGTGTGATGGCCTTGCGGGGCAGGGCGTGCTGCGAGAGGTCAGGGTTCGCCGCCACCAGCAGATCCCGCAGGTAGCGCGACAGGGTGCTGCCTGCCACGTTCAGCCGGAAGGTGGCCTGGTGCCACGAGTGACCCGCGTAGATGGGCGTGGCGTGGCACACGCCCGCGCCCGCCTCTACGGCCAGCCCGCTGAACGCGCCAGTGGAGCAGAGCGCCAACAACGCGGTGCTAGCCATGTGGCACGCGGGCACTGCCAGGGTCTCGAACAGCAGCTCCGCCACCCTCTCGCGGCCTGCGGGTGGCGCCGACGGGGAGTCGCTCACCAGCACAGGCCACTGCTCTGGGCACACCCGCAGGCCGCCCACCAGCAGGCGCTCCCAGAGCCCTTCCAGCGCCTCCCAGTCCGCCACCACGCCGTGCTTGATGGGGTGCGCCCGCGCCACGCCGCCTGCCAGCTCACAGCCCAGCGCGCCGGGCAGCACCGGCCGGTCCCAGCTGGGCACCAGGCTGGAGCTCTTCAGCACTATTCGCGGCTGGTTCTCGCCCGCGAAGCCCGCCTTGGTGAAACCCGAGCCCTGGTCCACCACCACCGCGATGCGGCCCAGGGAGGGCGGTCGGTGCACACGGTGGCTCCCCAACAGCGACGCCACCTTCGGGCTCCGTTCAGCCCCGGGGCTGAAAGCTCCGCTCCTTCGTGCCACTCGGCTTAGTCGGCCCGAGGCCTCTCGGCCTCTGTGCTAGGGAGTGGTCCCTTTGAGCCCTTGGCTCTGCCTCCGGGGCCTAAATTCCTCCTCTTCTGGACCACATCACCACCCCTCTCAGCTCTTGGCTCCGCCCTCTGGTCTGAAAGGCCCGCCTCTTGTTCCGGGCCGTCCGCCGCCTCTTCAGCTGGTGCCTGGTCCCTAGGCCTGAGGCCCGGCCCCTAGTTCAGGCTTCAGTCTCTGCTCTGGCTGGGTTCCAGCCGCATCTCACCCTCTTGGTCTTCCTCCGGCGCCGGGCTCCAGGCTCCACGCCTTGCACCGGGCCCCCACACTCTCAGGACTCGCCTCTCCTTTGCTGTTCCTCCCCGTCAGCGCTTGCTGAGATGGCTGACGAGATGGCTAGGACTGAGCCTTTTAGATCCTAAGAAGCCCCCAGGAGGAGCAGAACTTTGAAGGCGAAGGGGCCTTGTGGTAAGGCTGTTTGGACATATATCCCCCTTGGGGACCCAGGCAGCCTCCTGGCACCTCTCACCTGGGCTTGACGGAAGTTCCCGGTTGTGGAGGGAGGAGGAGCTGGTCAGAAGGCAGAAAAGAACTTGGATTGGTCTCATTGTGACCTCACTCCCCAGCAGCTGCCCTTCCACAGCCCCCTACCCTATGACAACTCCCTGGACCCATCCTCTCTCCTGGACAGAGCCAAGGGCAGTGATTTTGGCATCCAGGGGTCTGGCTTCAGCAGCCCAGCACAATCAATCTGATTCCTTTCTCAGACCACTTAGAGTTATCTGATGTACTCTGGCCAGATGCGTGGCCCTTACCTTCCCAGTGCTGAAGAAAAAGCTTTTAGTCACAGATCTACAGCTTCCCTGAAGAGCCCCGACAGGCTCTGGCCCTACCTTTAGGGGCTTCCATGGATGGATTCACGTGGGCCTGAATTTGAGACTCAGTTTTTATTTTTTTGAGACAGAGTCTCCGTCTCCCAGGCTGGGAGTGCAGTGTTGCAATCTCAGCTCAGTGCAGCCTCTGCCTTCCGAGTTCAAGCTATTCTCCTGCTTCAGCCTCCTGAGTAGCTGGGACTACAGGCGCGCACCATCATACCCGGCTAATTTTTGTATTTTTAGTAGAGACAGGATTTCACCACGTTGGCCAGGCTGGTCTTGAACTCCTGACCTCAGGTGATCCACCTGCCTTGGACTCCTAAAGTGCTGGGATTACAGATGTGAGCCACCGCACCCAGCAAGACTCAGTTCTGAAGCTGACTCACTGTGCGGTCCTAACCTAGTCTTGATCTTTCTCTGGGTTTGGTTTTCTCCAAAAGGTAGTCATAATCCCACCACACAGGAAAGAGGCCACGTCTTGCCTCGGCAAAGCCTCATTCTCTTCAGGACCGATTTGGTTGCAGGTAGAAGACTCGGGTGAATGTAAGCCAAAATAAGGACTTTATTACAAGGATCTTATATGTTATGGATACCAAGAGCAAGGGTGAAATCAGGTTTCAGGAACAGAATCTGACTGCAGGGCTGTAGGGAACCCAGGATGTGCACTGCATTGTGGTGGTGGTGGTGTTCGTTTTTTTTTTTTTTTTTTTTTGAGACAGTCTCGCTCTGTCACCCAGGTTGGAGTGCAGTGGCATGATCTCAGCTCACTGCAACCTCTGCCTTCCAGGTTCAAGCGATTTTCCTGCCTCAGTCTCCGGAGTAGCTGGGATTATAGGCGCCCACCACCATGCCCAGCTAATTTTTTGTATTTTTAGTAGAGAAGGGATTTCACCGTGTTAGCCAGGATGGTCTTGATCTCCTGACCTCGTGATCCGCCCGTCTCAGCCTCCCAAAGCACTGGGTTTACAGGCGTGAGCCACTGTGCCTGGCCTGCATTGTGTTTTTATTCTGAAGATTGACTTAGCCTGTGCATGTTCAAGTAGAGAGCATGGTCTCCTACAGTTCCTGAACTACAGTCCTAGGGGGAGGGGCTGACAGGACCAGCTTGGGCCAATCACTGTATGGGCAGGAGGTGCGGCCCCATGGAAGAAGGTGGTTACCCTGATTGTTACCACATGGATGGTAGGGAAGAGTCAGTTCTCACAATTAGCAGGAGTGATGTTATGCAGCCTCCAGCCTGGTGCAGGCAAGGTGGAGGAGATGTTCATCATGGTGACGGTGACAAAAGTATATCTTCAGCAGAAGCTGGGCTGGTGGCTCTAGTGAGCTGGGACTTCAGTCCTGCTGCATCTGCCCCCAAAAGAGGGCATCCTGAGGTTGGTCACCAGGGTGTGACAGGAAGGTAGGCTGCAGGTTCAGCAGGCCAGGAGTGGCATTGGGTGTGGAGCTGGATTTGGGACCTGGGAGAGTGAGAAGCAGCAGCAGGATCCCACACAGAAAGTGTGGCAGGGCTGCTTCTAAGTGATTTGGGGAGTGAGACTGAGGCTGTGGGCTTTTTCCCTGTTGGTAATGGAGACCTATTGAAAGCTTATGAGCAGGGGAGTGAGCTGCTCTAGACAGGTGAGTGGTTTGGAAGAAGTCTTTGTCATGTGGGGAAGGAGATACAGGGTAGGTTGGGAGACAGAGGTACCTTGGGGAAGACTGGAGGGCCTGAGTGCTTTGGGGTTACCAAGTACAATGTGTAGGAGTGAGGTGCCAGAGGGCTTCCAGCTTCTCCTGGGTGCGTCCACAGGCAGAATCCACGTTTCAGGCCTTGCCCCAGCTGACTGCCGCCCTGGCTGTTCTTACCCAGGATGGTGCCTGTTGGCCTGGGACCCTCCCTCATGCCTAAGAGGGATTACTGTGGGGGGATGTCAGGCTTTGCCGGAAGCAGGTCCCCCTCACTAGCGTGGCCACGCCTGGGTTTGCCCAAGCCCACCTCCCTTGAGCCTGCAGACTGAGCGGGATGTGACCTGGGTTTGGAGTGTTGGGGGAGGGAAACTGCCTCCCGCCACTGTAGCAAGGTGTGGGGTTCTGTTCTGACGCTTGGCACATGTAAGGAGAAAGCAAAAGACAGCCCTGGCTACAGACGTGGCGGTGGCTCTGCCTTCAATACGCCCCGTTCACCCCTGTGCGGCTCCTAGGCTCAGCTTTGCCCAGCCCGACTCCACCTCCCAGACACCTCCGACAGGGCTCGCAGGCTCCAGGGTTGCCACGCACTCTTTATTGGGCGGGGTCTGGGCCGAGCGCTTAGAGCCGCGGGCGAGGGCAGCGGCACCGTTTGCGCGGCTGCTGCTTGGCAGGCCCGGCTTCGCTGGGAGCCTTTCCCGGGGATCGCAGGCGCGAGCGCAGCCGCGGCCAGCTCCGCGCTGCCCTGGCCCCGCCCTCTTCCGGCTGCCGCGCCTCCTGCCGCAGGAGCAGCAGCAGCACCGGCATCTTCAGCTCGCGGTCGCCGCTTTCTCCCGCTCCGCGCAACCTGGGTGCCGCCGGGGAGCCCAGCCCGGCGCCTGACGCGTAGTCAATCGTTCGCCCAGCCTTGGCCAGTGGCTGTCGCTTGTCCAGGGGAAGGATCAGCACGATCCTGGTCTGGGGGTGGAACAAGGGCGTGAAGGTGGAACAAGGCTCGTGCCAGGGCCGAGCCCACGACCCGGGGCCTCCCCGCCCTCCTCCTGGGACCCTCATCCACCGGGTCCTGTCATCCTCCCATGCACAGGGCTGGAGGGGACCCCTGTCCAATTCAGGCCTCGGGGAAGCTCTCCCTTCCCTGCGTGGCGCCCTGGACTCCGCCTCCCTTCTGGAAACCCTCATCCATCCCAGGCTGACTTCCTGAGACCAGCTCCGTCTAAGTTTATGAGATCCCTTCCAGGCCCTGGGATGTCGGGGGCTCTCAGCACCCCCAACCCCCGCCTGGTCCAGGGCCTCTGCTCATTTGAGAGGGAGGCAGGGAAGTTCTGAGCCTAGGAGCTGGGGAGAGGACACAGGGGAATCCCACCTGCCCTTAGCTTCAGTAGTACCAACTAGGACTGATTCTCCGTGCTGGGACCTCCACCCGTTTGTCCAGGGTTGGGAGAGAATCCCACTCGTGCTCACCTCCCTGGGCTCTCAAGTCTCATCCACTTTCTGGTTCTGAAATCTCTGCCCTCCCTTCTGGGCTTTTTTTTTTTTTTTTTTTTTTTTTTTAAAGACTGAGTCAAATAGGGTCTTGTCCTACAGGTTGGAGTGCAGTGGTGCTGTCAACGGCTCACTGCATGCCTGACCTGAGCTCACGCAGTCCACCTCAGTCTTCTGAGTAGCTGGGACTATGGGCATTCGCCACCACAAACACCTAATTTTTTATTTTTGTAGAGCTGGGACCTCCCTATGTTGCCCAGGATGATTTCGAACTCCTGGGCTCAAGTGATCCACCCACCTTGGCCTCCCAAAGTGTTGGGATTACAGGCGTGAGCCACCTTGAAAAGACCCCCATCCACACCCATATGGGCCCCTGGGATCCTCATCCTTGGGAGAGATTTTCAAATTCCTCCCTCACCCCCTAGGACTTCGCACACAAGGCCTAGACTCCCACCCACCTATCCAGCTTTCCCTGACCCCCATCTGCCTCCCCAGCCCTGTTCCCCATCCCCCACACTCACAGTCGGCTTCTTCCGAGTGAGGTGGTTGAGGAACTGTTTCCACCAGGCCTTGTCCATGTCAGCTGGCCTCTCCTTGTGGGCCTGCTTGGGTGCTTTGGTCCTTTTGTGGGAACTATTGTTTCCCATGGCAGGGCTGGTCACCACTGGGGACCATGGCCCACACTCCGTCTGCTCTGCCCCCTGGGCCCTGGCAACATTGTGACCTCACGGGCTGACCTCACCAATTGCAGGCTCTGAGCACCGCCTCCCAGGGCCTAAAGGTGAATCTGGGCTCCACTCACTTTGTCACTTTTGGTTTCTCAGCTGTAAAACTGGGCTAATGATCATAAATGAGGCAATGCATGTAAGGTGCTTAGTGGCCAATAGAGGGGGATTTCTGTGGTTTGGGTATGAATTTTGGCCCTGCCACTAACTTACTATGTGACCTTAGCCCAGGTAATAAATCTCTCTGGGCCTGTTTTCTCATCTGCAAAATGGGGTCAATTATGGTTCCTATAAATTGTTACAAAGGTTAAATGAGGCCCGGCATGGTGGCTAATGCCTATTGTCTCAGTACTTTGGGAGGCGGAGGTGGGTGGATCACCTGAGGTCAGGAGTTCGAGTCCAGCCTGGACAACATAGTGAAACCCTGTCTGTACTAAAAATACAAACATTAGCCAGGTGTGGCAGCACGGGCCTGTAATCCCAGTTACTTAAGAGGCTGAGGCAGGAGAATTGCTTGAACCTGGGAGGCAGAGATTGCAGTGAGCCAAGATCATGCCATGTCACTCCAGCTTGGGTGATAGAGTGAGACTCTGTCTCAGAAAAACAAAAGACTAAATGAAATTCTTCTTGTAGCAGTGCCTGGCTCTGAGTGGGTGCTTCTATCTCTTCTCTGGTTGCAAGCAACAGAAACTAATCATCTCAAATACCCAAAAAGGAATTTTTTGGAAAGATTTCATGGAGAGAGAAACCCTGGCCTGTCTGAGAATGAAAAGACCCACCTTCCTCTCTGTCCTTGTCTCCTAACTCATAAGCCTGGCCCAGGAGGTCCCATCTGATGGCTGAGCTGAGGCAGGTTGTGGCAGGAGATGAAATCTCTGATGGATGGGACCTCTGGAGTCCCCTCGGAGAGGGCAGGCACCTGGACCACAGCTCCCCAGGACTCCCACTCTGGTGCGCACGCGTGTGTGTTTGCGTGTGTGTGTGTGTGGTGGGGGTTAGGCAATTCTCAGGACGTCTGTGACTCTTGGGTGTGTAAGTGGGCAGGCCTTGACAATAGACGGCTGGCAGGTCTAGCATTGAGAGCTTATGTGTCAGACCCTGTGCTGAGTCCTGTGCAGGAATTAACTTCTGGGAGCTTCTCGCAGCTCCATATGCTGAGTTTCATCTTTCCTGTTTGATAGATGAGGAAATGGAAGCCCCAGGAAGTGAAGGTAGTTGAGAAGCCTCAGAATCCCATGCTGGGCCACGCCGGGCCTAACATGTGGGCAGCCTCCCTGCCTCTCTGCCGCCCTGAGAGGGGCTGAGAGGAGGCTGGCAGTGGCGGTTGGGGTCAGTGCCAGCGGGTGTGTGTGTGTGTGTCTGTGTGAGTGAGGACGGTGACCTGATTGTCTTTATCAGCAGCTCTTAGTAAAAAGCATCCAGTGTTGTGTGCATGAGTGAATGAATGAGGGAGTGAACACGTAGATTGTGAGTCTGGGGCCACACCAGGCCATCATTTTGCCTCGTGTCAACATTGGCCCTTTGATACCTTGTGATAGCCCCACCCAGCCTAGCTGTGCCTGGGACTCACTGGCTATGACAATGCTGAAGGTGGTAGCCCCATCGGGGAAGGGGCCGTGAAGTCCAGAAAAGCCAGGCACGTCGGCAGGCAGATGCCTGCTGTGAGTTGGCTCCACACCTCCGGGGAGGGAGGCCAGGCCCGGACAAGGAGGGATCCAGACCCTCCCTGCCCATCGGGTCTCAGTACCCTCCTGCCTGTGCCGGGTTTACGTGCCCCTGCTCTTGGCACCGCCACTGCTGCTCTGATGGGCAAGAGGCAGAGGACCCACTCAGAGATCACTGCCCAGGCTGGGAGATGCTGACCGTCCCCCCTTGGCCCGCAGGCGTACGAGAGGGCCTCCAAGGTGGACCAGTTTGTGACGCGCTTCCTGCTGCGGGAGACGGTGAGCCAGCTGCAAGCCCTGCAGAGCTCGCTGGAGGGGGCGTCAGATACTCTGGAGGCCCAGGCCCGTGGCTGGCGGTATGTAAGGGCGCTGCCGACCTGCAGGGCTAGTGCACAAGTGCCCACTGTACCCCCATTCCAAATCCCCACAGTCTCAGCATCCTAGAGGCTGTATTTTTGGGCAGGGAAGCCATGGTGGGGTGAGATGAGACTGGCTTTGGGGCTAGGCCTCAGAGTCCCAGGAGGCCTGTCTTCCTCACCCAGGCCTGTCCCGTCCTGGGGCCCCAGTCCTCGGCCCTGTGAGCCTCACTTTCTCTAGGTCAGATGCAGAGAGCATGGAGGCGCAGAGTAGGCCCTGCGGCAGCCGGCGGACAGGACGCCGGGCCCTGAGGAGCGTCAGCCGGTCATCCACCTGGTCCCCTGGCTCTTCTGACACAGGTGCGCCTGGGGCGGGGTGGGAGGCCTGGCCAAGGCGGGCACCGCATCCCTCCTTCCCCCAGGCCCCGCTCTTTCACTGCCCCTTACTTCATTCTGAGAACCTGCCAGGCCTGAGAGGCCCCTGCCTGACCCTGCACGGGCCCCACCCACAGGGCACAGCTCAGAGGCTGAGATGCAGTGGCAGCTCCAGGTGAACCGCCTCCAGGAGCTCATCGACCAGCTCGAGTGCAAGGTGAGGGCCATGGGGCCAGGGCCCCACGAGGGAGGACCCTCCTGGTATCCACCCGAGCCAGGCCCATGCTGGAGGCGCGGCCCATACTCTGTGCCCTCACAGGCCCCCCGGCTGGAACCCCTGCATGAAGAGGACCTGGCCAAGGGGCCTGATTCGGTGAGCCCAGGAGAGGGGCAAGTGGCTGGATGGCCATGTCTGGGGGTGCTCATGAATTGGGGGTTCATGGGGCCAGCTGCGCCCACCCTCTGCAATGCACATGTGCCCCGCCCCCAGGCCTGGCAGGCAGGTGCCGGGTTCTGAGAACCTGCAGGAACCGCCACCCTTCTCTGGGCTTTGGTTCCCCATCAGCATTTTTGAAAGCCAGGTCTGGGGCAGTGTGGACGGACGCTGGAGGGAGGAAGGAAGTGGTGGCATACTGCAGGAGGGACAGTGGCTGGATCAAGCAGCACCCTTGGAGACAGGGAGACAATGGAGACAGGGAGGTTGGGGGGCAGGTTGGCAGCAGGAACCCAGCTAAAGGGTAGGTTGGATCTGGCATCAGTCAAGAAGGCTGGCGGCCAGGTGTAGGTGGCTCATGCCTGTAATTCCAGCACCTTGGGAGGCCAAGATGGGAGGATTACTTGAGCCTGGCAGGTAGAGGCTGCAGTGAGCCATGATCCCACACACCACTGCACTCCAGCCTGGGTGAGAATAAGATCCTGTCTTAAAAACAAACAAACAAAAAAACAGCTGGGAACCTCCTAGAGGCCACGGCCAGTCCCTCCCCTGCGCCCAGCCCCACACTGGCTGACCGACTGCCTCTCCCACCAGCACATCCTCGTGGCCCAGAGGCAGGTCCAGGTGGCAGAGGAAGGCCTGCAGGACTTCCACCGAGCCCTGCGCTGCTACGTGGACTTCACAGGGGCCCAGAGCCATTGTCTGCAGTGAGTCCCCAGCTGGCAGGTGGGATGGCTGAGGGGGGGAGAGGTGCTGGGGCAGAGAGGGGTGCTGGGGCTGGACGTCCTGGGCCAGGGCTCCCATGAGACCCCAGGCCAGGGAGGCAGAGGTGGTGGCAGCCCTGGCCTGGCCTGCCCATCTCTTTGGCCCCGCAGTGTGTCTGCCCAGAAGATGCCGGACGGTGCCTCCTTCACCCTGTATGAGTTCTGGCAGGATGAGGCCTCCTGGAGAAGGTATGAGTGCCAGTCTGGCCGCTAACACCATGGACTGTGACCCTGGAGTGAGTCAGGCCAGGGTTCTAATCCTGCTCTCCCACTCACTGGCTCTGTGACCTCAGATGAGTGACCCCACCTGCCCGACCCCCGAGTCCTTTCCAAAATGGAAGTGATAACAGTTCCAACTCCTGTGGGCTAAAGGAGGTGACTGGGAAGAGCTGAATACAGCACAGGGACACAGGAGGCACTTAGTGAACACACACTTGTCACCATGCATGTGACAATGCCGAGCACTGTGTGCGGTGCCCTTCGTTCTACCTGCACAGCGTCCTCATGTCAAAGGGGAGAGGACTGAGGCTTCAGAGGCAGCGTGAGAAGGGCTGGGGTCTGATCCTGGCAGCAGGGTGGGGCAGGAGTAGGGAGACCGAGGTCATGGCAGCCTGCGTCTCTCCGCAGGCACCAGCAGTCGCCCTGCAGCAAGGCCTTCCAGCGCGTCCTCATCGACCACCTGCGGGCTCCGGACACCCTCACCACTGTGTTCTTCCCAGGTGTGCGGCAGACCCCCACTCACTGTCGCCTGGGAGGGGCAGTGGGCTCCTGAGGGCTCCTGACCCCCCGACCTCTGACCCCCAGCCTCCTGGTGGATAATGAATAACAACTGAGCCAGACCTTCACACGCCGAGGACCCCGGGACCCTGCCTCCCTCCCTCTGGAGCCTTCTGCCCTGGCCAGCCCACCCAGCGCAAAGACCAGGGCCTGCCTGCTCCTGGACCTGGGCCTGGTGGAAGGGCTCTCAGCCCAGGGATCAGGGACTGGGCTGCTTGCTTTCTATTTATTATTGATTTATTTATCCATGTATTTTATTGTTTGTCACTTCAGCCTCCAAGCTACTTTGGCTTCTGCCTGGCTCAGGAGACCTGGATTCTGGTCTCTCCTGGCTGAGCGACCCAGGGCAGGTTCTGTCCCTGTGTGGGTGGGCCTTGGGCCATCTGGCTGCCTAGCAAGGGTCCTGGTTTCTTCCCGCTGTCTTGGGGCCAGGCTTCTGCTCCTTCCCAGCTAGCAGCAGAAGCAGGGCTGATGCTCAGGGACCCAACCCCTCAAACCTTGCCCCTGAGGCTGGGCTGGACCTGGGTGCCCCTGTTGCCCTCCCAGGCCACTAGGCTCTGACTCTTCCAGCACCCATGGATGTGCCAGAGGCCTCTGGGTTGGTTTGCATGCCATTTTCTTATCATTT